TGAGAAACTGAGCATAATTCAAACTGGGATGGATGATTACTTTCTGGGAACAGCTGAGTGAAGAGGAGCTGTGTGACATTTTTTAAAACATACTGAAATAATTTTCTATAGCTCCTTTTTCAGTTTGTCAGTATTATTGTATTATTCAAACTCTGAGAACATATTAGTGTTGCAAAATCAAAAACTAACAAAAAAAGACATTGTGTTATTTACAAGAGACAATAGTGACCTGTAGTCCTTGAGCCCTGCATTGCCCTGATGCTGTATACGTTTATCAGTTTTGCTCCTTTGTTTCAGTTTTTTGTCCATGCTGTCATGAACCTGCTAATTAATCCTCCTCTAATTTGGTTCTGTCACCCTTTGATATTTTTTTAAATCTATTACATCTTTTTAGTGAAGCTGTCCTGTATGAGTGAACAGCAAAATTCCTGACAGGATTTGACACCGAATCATATCTCGTATAATAATTAAATCTAAGTTGTGCCCACTCTCTTATCTATGCCTTAAATGTTGACAATAGTTTTATTGTTTAAAAAGCTATCCTGTAACAAACGTGATATCATTGGCGGCCATGGTTTTATGCATTTATTTATTTGTAAGGACAATGAAGTTAGTGGGTTTTTAAACAGTTGTATCCATGGAAAACTTTCCAAATATTCTCTGCCATTGCCAAACAATTTAGTATAAAGAAAGAGCACATTTAAGAAAAGTAAACTTTTTTTTTTTTTTACTTCTTAGCCATGTGATTGTAGCAATCCATCCTGCTAGGATTTGGGACCTGGCCAAAGTCTATATGATGGTTGGAGAAATTTTCTTGTCTCATCTTCATGGAGTGGCACATCTGAGAGTGCCTCAGACAAGACTTTGGTGTTCATATTTCTTGTAGGAGGGATTACAAAACACTGGTAAAACAACCAGCAAGGTATGATCAAGCAAAGCCAAAGAGTGAAACACTATTTTATTTTTATTTTAGAATTAGTCACATTTCTGTGTCAGATTGGGAGATGGGTGGCGGCATATTCCAGTCTAACACTGTGCTATTTTAAAGCAATATGCTTAATGAAATGTCTTGTTTTGTTTGCATTCCAACGTCTGTCTCTTAATTCTTTAGTGTCATAGTTTGTTTTTCCTTTGTATACTTTTGATTCTGCTGCCATCTATAAACTTGAATGGTAAATGGTAAATGGCCTGTATTTGATATAGCGCCTTCTAGAGTCCTGGAACCCCCCCCCCCCCCCCCCCCCCCCCAAGGCGCTTTACAACACAATCAGTCATTTACCCATTCACACACACATTCACACACTGGTGGGGATGAGCTACAATGTAGCCACAGCTGCCCTGGGGCGCACTGACAGAGGTGAGGCTGCTGAGCACAGGCGCCACCGGTCCCTCCGACCACCACCAGCAGGCAACGTGGGTTAAGTGTCTTGCCCAAGGACACAACGACAGCGACAGACTGAGCGGGGCTCGAACCTGCAACCTTCCGATTACGGGGCGAGCACTTAACTCATGTGCCTGTCGCTGACTGAAAATAGTCAGTTGTTATTTAAGTGAACTGTTTCTGGTTCCAGTTTATTTTGTTTATGTATTTTATTTTAAGTACTACCTGGCCACACGATTTGGAAACAGAAGTCTCTGTAGCATTTCAAAGAACCATAAAAAGTCACCACAGACTGGCACCTTCACCTCATGCTGATAAACAGCTTAGTCATACAATGATGGAGGATGGTGTCTTATCAGAAGTCAATCAGTGTTGTTGTGTTGGTCACTCTAGCACATACAGCACGCCAAAACTAATTTCACAAGTTTTCAGTGGGGTTGAGGTCAAGACTGCTGGCATGCCTTTTAATCTTCTCCAGTCCCAAATGGGGGTATCCTCTGGTAAACCACCATCTCGAGTTCAGTCTCAAACACAATGACATGGGATTGCATCTCATTCTAGGATATGATCTCAATTTTACTCTGCACTTGGATGGCCACCAATGATGTCAAGTTTAGTTTTTCTAGTGAGAGAGATTGTGCCCTTATCCCCCTGCCAAAACAAAAAGTTGTTAATGTCTTGGCGCACCCAGAGGTGCTGTATGTAGATAGACAAGGGAAGCACAAAACAAAGATGTTTCGCCAAAACAAAAAAGGACCCAAAAATCAGCCATCACAGATCACTGCAGGAGGATGAAACCACATCATGGACTGGGATAAGGGAAGAATCATCACTTCACAAAACAATTAATTAAAACGATGGATCAGAGAGTCCATGGTGAAGTGTTCCTGCAACACCGTCAACTGGGATGAGGGAGCATACACCCTGTCACACACCTGGGACTCCATTCTCCAGAGCTGGCGGGAGAGAGACCCGGCTGGCCTGGGGGCGTGGTTTGACAGCACTCTCAGACCAGCCAGCTGATGAATGACACAACAGCAGAAAGTCACTCTGAGGAAGACTGAAGTGTCCAGTTCAAACTGTCAGCGGATATGAAAAAACATCTTGAAAAAAACACATTTGTCTTACTAAAAGAAAATGTATTATCAGGCAAGGAAAGCTTTTTTCTTCAGGCAGAGTATTGTCCAGGATAGTCGAGACTTTTCATCTGATGCTATTTAGTCAACAGTCTGATACGTTTTTGAATGAAACCCGCTTTTTTTCTATGGTCTGATGTTTGACACCTGAGGATGTCCTAAAATGTACACCATACATTAAAATGATTGCACCTTAGACCTTTTATAGGGCAAATGTCTATATTTAGACACTTCCACTCACCTCATAAGTTATGTCTGTGTGCCTTTTCACAAACTCTTGGAATTATGCAGTTTCACCCAAACATTCATCAGAGACCATGCTAGTCACAGTTTGCGCCATGGCACCATTCCACTAATCGGTGCGGGGCTATAAGGTGCTTAATATAAGTGTGTCTGCAGAGCAAGAAAACTCCTTGGTCTCATCTAAAACTAACATTGCTAGGATTATGAAACTCTCACATCACATGGTTGACTAGTTGTGCTAAAGAAGGGTATTGTAATTGTTAAACTCAGTAAAGTTGGTGAAATCATTGCATGAAAATCAAATCTGCCATATTTGAACCTAAGTCCTGAATAAGTAAAATAAATTATGAATATCTTTAGGTAAAATATGTTGTTTTTTTAGACATAATCTTAATATCCATGGTAATCGTAATAATAACAGTTGTGATATTGAGTATATTTTGCAGTTCTAAACTGAGGTTTCTATGGAAAATGGAGGACAGTTATTGCGTTAACCAATCTGGTCATCAATGATGATGATGAACAGGAGGAAGATGACACTGAGGCAGATCCTCAAATATAAAATGTTCGATTAATCTATATTTGATGAGAAATAGTATCTATTGTTCAAAAACTTTTCAAAAATATTCCACAGTTATCTGTTTTCATAAAAATAAACAACATTGTTTTATAATTGATATATCCTGTATTTTTTAACAGTGATATAATGTTATAAAATTAGCTAGATTATTCTTAAGTGTCTCGTAATTATCTATACTGTTAAAAAATGATGCTTATTTAACTTGCTGATGTTATTTTATTTAGGGATTTCTTTTACCAGGACAGGACCATTGTCCATATTTGATCAGTTTGTTTTCTCAAATTTTCTGTATGAAAATAGATATTTTTGAAAATTGTAACAACACAAATACACTTTGGTTATGGACTACAATAACACCCTGGGGTTGAAATAAAAAAAATAAAAATAAAATATGTCAGTGAGTGCCCTGTGTTAGGAATCAGATGTCCTTGAACTCAAATACACAAATACGTTGGGGACTGCAACAGCCACTTTATCAATTCATCTCACTGCATTTGTTCTTATTTTTGCTGCATATTAGTTATTGTTTTGGTGCTTTCTTAAGATGTTGGTTAGCTCCACTGCATTAGTATCATGGGCCAGTGAGGATGAAAATGTCAATTATGCTGTATGTATGGCACATTAAACTAATTGACAATACATTTGACTTTGAAGTTTCCAGGTTCTTGTGTGGCATTAGATGATGTTGCCCCATTACAAAAGAAGCTTATTAAGCACATGAAGTTGGCTCCCTGGTTTAATTCTGATATACGTACTTTAAAACAAAACTCCAGAAAATTGGAGAGAACATGGTGCTCTACACACCAAGAGGAGTCATACTTACCCTGGAAAAATAGTCTTGTGCTTTATAAAAATAAGTTTCAACAAGCTAGAACTGCATATTTGTCATCGCAAATTGAAATACAATAAGAATAATCCCAAATTTCGTTTCAGTACAGTTGCCAAACCTACACACAATCATAGCTCTGAACCATCTACTCCATTAGCCCTCCACAGCAACAACTATATGGGATTTTTTCACGAGTAAAATCAATTTTATTAGAAACAAAATCATTAGCATTCTCCCTAATGTGATTAAGTGAGGCAGCATCAGAGGTAACTGTAGAACCTTATCTGTGATTGAACTGTTTTGATCCAGTTCAGCTTTCAGATTTATCAAAAAATGTAGCTTCATTTAAACCTTCAACTTGTATTTTAGATCCAATCCCAACCAAATCTGCCAAGGATGCTTTCTTTCACTCCAGTGTGTGTGGAGCTATCCAGTGGGTGGTCACACTGAGATAACCGTGGTTGTGTGCAGTCCAAATGTCCATCTCTGAACTACATGTCAGGTGAGCTGTCAAAAGTTACATCGCAGCAGGATCCCTTGCTAAGACTGATGGACGAGGTGAGAGAACTCAAAGTACTGTTAACCAAGAAAGAGAAAAAGATATCGGCTTTAGAGCAAAGAGTGGACGATCTTGAACAATATACAAGAAGAGAAGACTTGGTAATAATGGGACTTGAAACTAGGGCTGCAACTAACGATTATTTTCATAATCGATTAATCTGTCGATTATTTTTTTCGATTAATCGATTAATCGGTTTGTTATTGTTTAGCTATTTAACCTATACAAGTGATGAATACATTTCAGTTAAGAAAAAGAAAAACATAAGAGAATTGTGCAGTTGACTGCAATCTATTTTATTGCACATGACCACAGTCAGCAGTGTAAAATGAGCTAAACAGTGCAAAATATCAGTCCAGAATAATTTTTTGGCATCAAAATATAAGAGGTAAATTCCATAAAAAATAATGTAGAATCTGGAATAGAGTTTGTAAGTGGTATGCATTGCTGGGGGTGAGTGTCTTGTTCCCCATGTAGTTGTCCATCGTTGCTTGTTTTTTTCTGCATAAGAAACACAAATAAACTGAATTAATTACACATATAAAATAAAGCAGCACACACACTACAACACTAAATCAATATTACATTATTTGAATTAATTAACAATATACAGTGATCATTTATTTTGACAAAAATGTGTTGTGAGGCGTTTTACAGCGTTAGATAGTAAAACAGCCTTTTAATAGTTAAAAAAAGGACTTTCTGAATTTCTCCTGTATTTAAAAATTGAAAGCGTACAACTATGCCGCGTTATATTCACCTGGACACAGCTCGTCTGTATATTTTTCTCTGCGGAGTTGTCCTTTTTTGAATGAGGAACACAGTTATGGGTTTGTGCCGTTTTTCTCTTAACGAGAACATTCTTATAAACAGACGTGCTAAATTTGGCAAGCGCATGATTCACAACACGGAGGAGATTCACGATTGCATCTAGTCAATCAGAAGTAGAGCACCGTAAACTGACGCGGCAAAAAAAAAAAAACATGTTTAACATCCACTATAACGAACTCAGCTAACACTAAGTCCCAAATGTGATCTGCGTTAGCTTGTTTATTTTCTGTTACTTACCGGACTTTCCTCTGCTGCATCAGCCCCCATGTTTTCATTTCAAATGTTCACTTAGGGACGTCGTGCTTCCGTCGTGCCATGGTTTTTGCATATTTTGTAGGTCACCGGTCTTTTCAAGGCATCTAGTGAAGTGCTCCCATACTCGTGAGGTTTTTGTCCGGGGTTTCTCTTGTTTTGTCGCTTCTATTTTTCTTCCGTATTTGTTGTTGATCCGCCATCTCTCACAGCAAGATGCGCGTCAGTAACGTGATACGTCATGAAATCCGAGGGCACTTATTGGCTAATTTCTTCTTCTACGGCCCCACTGGTAGATCAGTGGCTCATTACTGCCACACACTGGCGGCAAATTTAACAGATTGTAACCAATGTCAGATTGTGGTAAAAAATAGACTTTATGCGGTAAAATATGATTATTAAACAACTAATCGATGACTAAAAAAGTTGTTAACTATTTTAATAATCGATTATAATCGATTAAATCGATTAGTTGTTTCAGCTCTACTTGAAACCAGACACAGAAACTATGCTAATGCAGTTACCAATCATAACTCAGCAGAAGATGCCTCAGAAAAATAACTTGAGTCACTTGAACAACAAGTTGTAACATTTCTACACAGTAAGAATATTTCCATACAAAAAGAAGCCATTTCCATATGTCACACTCTGCCTAAGAAATATGAAAAGGAAAAACCAGCTATTATAGTAAGGTTCACACAATGAGTTAGCATCCCCTATGAGGAGAATACAAGAAGAACTAGAATACAAAATATACGATCCTGGAAAAGATTTAGACAATAATCTGTACATGCATTATAATGAATGCAAATATTATAGCAACCAAGAATTGTGTGACTGTGCCTTGGTTAATGATACACTGTCCATCAGCCACTTCAATAGTAGAAGTTTGCATTGCAATTATGATAAAATATTGGAGTTTTTTTAACACAAAATTAAGTGAGATTTAAGGTTATTGCAGTTACAGAAACACGGTTACAAGAAGGAGATATTGAGGACGTTCAAATAAACTAATTGACAATACAAAATTACCAGAATCGGGAAAATAAAAAAGGTGCTGGTGTAGTACTGTATATGTAACACCCTAAAAAGCAAAGCGATGTATAACCTGTCGACAGCAACTGATGATGTAATGGAAATGATCACTGTTGAAATAACATCTGAGAAGACAAAAAACATAATAATTAGCACCAGGTTCCTGTATTCAATCATTCACAAACACAGTTTTGAAGATGTTTAATGGAATCGGTAACAAGAATTTGTTTCTCTGTGGGGACTTCAACATTGATTTGAAAAATACAAACAATTTATCAAACAATTTTGTAAATTTCATGCATCTACTTGGTCTGTTTCCTCTGATAACCAAACCCACAAGAATTACTGTACAAAGCTCAACAATTATAGATAACATATTTTGTAATATTTCAGGGGGGTTGGAGAGTGTTGGAATCATAATGACTGATATTAGTGATCATCTGCCAGTTTTCACATGCTACAAGAATGATCAGATTAGACATCAACCTCAAATGGAAACTCTTATAAGGGATCGGTCACAAAAAGCCATAGACTCATTTAATAGAGCCCTAGAACAGCAAAACTGGGATGAAATATATATAAATTATGTAAACTTGACTTACAGCTCTTTTATAAGAATACTGTGCAGTCAATACGAAAAAACTGTAAAATAAAAAAAAACTTACAAAAAAAGATAGGAATATACCATGGTTGACAAAAGGACTGCAAAATGCCTGCAAGAAAAAAAAAAGCCCTATACAGAAGCTTTTTAAAACAAAGAACCAGCGAAGCTGAGCACAGATACAAAAATATTAGAATAAATTAGTTTCAATAATAAAAAGACAAAAAAATAAATATTATAGCAATCTACTAGAAAAAAATACAAACAATATAAAGGCAACTTTGGGAATGATAAACAATGTTATAAAAAGAAATAAATCAGTTTCAACTGTTCCGAATTACTCTGAAATAAACGATCCAAACAAAATTGTCAATGAATTTAATAAATTCTTTACTAATGAGGGACCTAGCTTGGCAAACAACATTCCAAAAAGAACTAATTATAACATAGGCAAAAAAATTATAAGTAACAAAAATAGCATGTTAATAAATCCAGTGACTAAAGAAGAAGTAAGAGAAGTTGTAAAAAAAACATATCAATAAAAGAACAACTGACTGCGACAATTTAGACATAATATTAATAAAACATATAATAGAGAACATTATCCATCCCTTCACTTATATATGTAACGTATCATTTACAACCGGCATATTTCCTACCAAAATGAAAATGGCTAAAGTCATTCCGCTTCAAAAAAGTGGAGATAAGCATATCTTCTCCAACTACCGACCTATATCCCTTCTGTCACAATTCTCAACAATATTAAAAAACTATATATTACCAGATTGGATGCATTTTTGAACAAAGAGAATATCTTAATTGACTGTCAGTATGGGTTTAGACCAAATCTCTCAACTTCAATGACACTAATGGAATTAACAGAAGAAATATTGGAAGCCATTGTCAAAAAAAAAAAACATTTGACAAGTATCTTCATTGACCTAAAAAAAGGATTCGATACAGTAGATCCTGACATTCTTCTAACAAATCTTTGTAAATATGGCATAACAGGAACAGCCCTAAAATGGATAATGAGTTATTTACATGACAGGAAACAGTGTGTTCAAATAAACAACATCAAATCCAATCTGGAAAATATTACTTGTGGAGTACCACAAGAGTCGGTACTAGGCCCTAAACTATTTATTATTTATATAGATGATATTGTGTCTACTTCTAATATGTTGAAGTGTATCTTATTTGCAGGTGACACAACTTTTTATTATTCAGGAGACAATATTGATCAAACGATAGAAGTGATACAAACAGAGTTGGAAAAAATCAAATTATGGTTCAATGGAAATAAGCTTTCATTGAACACAGATAAAACATATTTTATGATATTGAGTAGTAGAAAGTTGAATATAAAAACATTAATAAAATTAGACGAAATCTGTATTAAACAAGTAAAGGAAGTTAACTTTTTGAGAGTCATCATTGATGAGGATTTATCTTGGAAACCACATATAAATAATATCAAAACTAAAATAAATAAATAAATCGCAATGTTACACAGAGTGAAATGGTCTCTAGATGACAAATTCCTATTTTTATTATACAATTCATTGATCATACCATACTTGAACTACTGTGTTGAAATTTGGGGAATAACATATAAAATCTATACACATTCAGTTTTTATCCTACAAAAAGCAATAAGAATTATAACAAGAAGCAACTACAGAGATCCATCCAGCCAATTATTTTTTCAAACTAAAAGCATTAAAATTTTACAAACTAGTAGATTATACTATTTTGAAATTTATGTATAAAGTCGACAAAAAGCACCTTCCAACAAATTTAATCATAAGATTTATGGAAAGAAAGAGTAGCTATGATTTGAAAGGCAACAAAATGTACACAATACCAAAACATAGGATAAATATAAAGGAACATTGTGTATCAATATGTGGAATCAAAATGTGGAATAAATTAAGTACCGAAATCAAGAATACCAAAACAATATATACCTTTAATAAACATATTAAAAATGAAATGCTTAGCTTATATGATGCTATGATATAGACATATTCATGAAGTAGAGAGAATGAACACACATCGTATGTTCCACTTTGTTTCTTTTAGCTATTATTTTTGTGTGTTTTGTTTTGCATTATTTGTTTTCTCCTTTCATTAATATAAGAAAAAAAAATAATTTTGTGTGTACATGTTTGTTTTCTCTCCATTTTTTGCCAAAGCTCAATCAGTAAACCAGATCAGAGGTTTTTTTTTAAAGTATAATAACTTTGTTGTCATTTGTATTTGTTTTGGTTAAGGGGAACAGATAATATAAGTTTTGCTTCTTTCTGTTTCTTTTTTTATTTTTTGTTGTCATAAACCTGTTTTGTGTTTTGTTTTTAATTGTGAATAAATGAAAATAAACTTTAAAAAAAATGTCTGCAGTTGTAGACAAAAAGCTCAAATCTTCAAAACTCTTTTTAAGTTTTTTGTTCATTTTGACGTCCTCAGCTTCTAAGTATTTAGCAAACATCTTAGTGCATGGTGCACGGGCTCCTCATTTCTTGGGTATTTTATCAAAAATTGTGCGGAGTAAATCATCCTCCACCATTGATAAAGGCAACATATTTTTAACAAAATACCTTCCAATCATGTGTCATAAGTTGACCAGCAGAAAATTCTAACTTTGGCTGCTTGGAAGGCTTTGCTCCATCATCCGTGGTGGAGATATCTGTATTTGGCCACTAGCTGCGTGTTTCATTGTGAGAAGCTTTGATAAGTTAGAGTTGCTTGTTATAGATGTCGACAAAGTCTTCGCTCCGGAGCATAACAAACAGCTTGCATGGACATGCTTGCCTTTTACCTTAAGAAACTTGAAGTAGTGGTTATATCTCCACTGTGAAAATGTCTACTTTTCATCCAAACGATCAAGACTTGCCATTATATCTGCTTCAGCGTCTGTGTGTGTTTGTAGCTTGCTTCTCCTAGCTCGTGTGTGTGTAAACACAGGCTCTGATGACTATCACATGACTCTCCCTAGCCAATCATATTGCTTGTCTTGTTGCCAGCACAACCAGCCTCTTCATAAACAGTTTGTATGAAGATGGTTGCGTTCAGTTTATTTTATCAATACAAATAAATGTACATAATTTACCGCTCAGTAACGTTAACTGAGTTAAGATGGCCAAAACAGTAATTAGTTTGATTACTCTGTTACTGATAAAATAACGTCGTTAGGTAACACCATTCTTTTAAATGCCATTATTCTCCTCACTGGTATTCACATTTATTAAACCCATCATTAGCTATAAAACTGCATTAAAATGATGGAAATGCTATCTTTCTCCCACCAGAATTGACGCATCACTCACGGCTCACGAGAAAATAGAGCTCAAGCTGAAACGATTACTACATGGCGCAAGCCTTGGTGGCACTTTGCGGTGCTTAGCAGCTGTTGTGACTGAGAGCGTAGGTTAACAAGGGCACCAATTAGAAGTGCTTGTCTTTCCACGGTGCTTCATGGCGCATTGTCGCGCTCCTGCATCTGGTGTGTTCTGGGTGTTATGCTGACGAGTCTGCCTACAGGAGGGAGGTGGAACGGCTGGTGTACTGGTGCAGCAGCAACAACCTGGAGCTCAATGCTCAGAAGACAGTGGAGATGATTGTGGACTGGAAAGTCACAGCCCCATCTCTCCCCCTCGTCCTGACGGACACCCCCATCACCACTGTGGACTCCTTCCACTTCCTCGGAACCACCATCACACCTGACCTTAGGTGGGAGCCATCCATCAGCTCCCTGCTCAAAAAGGCCCAGCAGAGGATGTACTTTCTGCGGCAGTTGAAAAAGGCCAAGCTGCCGGCCCAGATGATGGTGCAGTTTTACCGGCC